GTACAAAATCAAGTAAGTATTCTTTGCAGCAATACAGTATTCACATAAATGTTCAAAACGGGACACTAGCAGTAATAGAACTACAGCTGTGATTGGCAGGCATGCAGCTGTAAGGGCGGGGAGGAGCCGGACAAATAACGATTGAGCATCAGAGGATCATTTGCAACTCTGATGTTGAGGTGATGGGCAAGTTTACGCACAGGGAAAAAGCTGACATGCATCTCATGTATGGTGCTGCTAATGGGAATGGCAGATCAGCGCTACGGTTGTACCAGGAACAGTTTCCGAACATGCGTACGCTGAAACACACAATGTTCAAGAGGTTGCATTGGTCTCTGTGTGAAAACGGGTCATTTGAAGCCACCTCTGACACTAGGAGTGGAAGAAGAAGTGCACGACAACCTCACATTGAAGAATCCATCTTGAACATTGTGCATGAATCACCTCAGACAAGTACAAGAGCTATTGCACGTCTGCAGCTGAGTCATTCCACCGTTTGGAGAGAATTGCATGAAAATGGTTTGCACCCATACCATTTGCAGAGAATCCAAGTCTTGCAAGAGACAGATTATCCTCTTCAAGTTCATTTCTGTCATTGGTTCTTGCAGCAGTGTGAGGCGCAGGTGGATTTCCCATTAGATATGCTATTCACGGACGAGGCAACTTTCTCACAGGATGTCATTCTCAATAGCCACAACATGCATGTGTGGGCAACTTCTAATCCACACAGCAACTCCTAATCGCATGCATTCCAAACCTGCTTCTCTGTGAATATGTGGGCGGGTATTGTTAACGACTACCTAATAGGCCCATACCTCTTACCTGCACATACAAATGGCTTACTTTATAATATTTTTCTGCAAGAGGTGCTATCGGAATTGCTGCAGGATGTTCCGGCTGTCGTTCGTGATCGCATGTGGTTCCAGCATTATGGTGCACCAGCCTATAACCACGTGCGGTCCGCAATTTCTTGGATGGGATATTTCCGGGCCGATGGATTGGCCGTGGTGGACCCATTCGATGGCCACCCCGTTTGCTAGATTTATCCAGCTTGGATTTTTTTTATGGGGCCATCTGAAGGGCATCATTTACGAGACTCCCGTTGACTCACTGGAGGACCTCGTTGCCCGACTATCCATTGCAGCTGCAAGCATGCGCGAAATGCCTGTTGCTTTTCAAAATGTTCGTCAAATCCTTTCTGCGACATTACCAAGCATGTAATACTGCTGGTAGTTGCAATTTTGAGCATTTACTGTGAATACTGTATTGCTACAAAGAAGCACTTTGCATTGATTTTGTACATAAACACATTTTTTTTTCCCTCGTGTCTTTTTTTTTTTTCGTTCCTGCCTTAACCCGTCACTTTAGAACCTACATTCCTATAAAAAAATGCATGTTTTAGTACTCTCCACCACCCCTCCAAGTTCGTCCCATGATCTATGAAACACCCTGTATATTTTATATGTGTGAACCTGTGCTTGTTGAGCTCATACTATTAAATACTAAATATATTAAACAAACTTGATTAAAAAATGCATGCACTTATGTGCGATTCTCTTGAAAAATATTACGCATAAAGTAATTTCTAAAAAAAAAATGTATAAAGAAAACCAAATTTTATCTCCCTATTCAGCGGGTGTGAAACAATTAAAATGAGCTTTTTAATTTTATCTTTAGTATTAAATACAAATTAGTTTTTTTCCCCCTCGTATATATGAAAAATACTAAAATCTTTGTGTCAGACTGGTAGTATTTAGAAGTACAAAACTCGTCTCTTCAAACGAAAGTTTCTGTGGAATTTGTCTAGGTCAGCAGGTAACAGAGGCCACTGAATGCTTCGTCTTTGTTTGACAAACCCGTTGAAGTGGACATTGACCGATTTCACCACCAAAAGACTTTTTCTAACAAATGAATGCTACTCTAGCTTTGATTATGTTTTGTCTGAAGGACTTCTGAGATGTGATCGTATTTGAATGCATGGAAATTTCAGTAACTTGGAAGACTTATTGTTCCAAAAGCATCAGTCAGACACCAATAAAATTTGCTGTAGCTATTTCTACTCTCTGTGAGTTTGTTCTTCAAATCCTGGAAAGGGCAAAGGTTTACTTTTTTTTTACATATACAACAAAACTGCATGTAAAACAGAATAATCATAGCCACCCATTGTATTTAGTCATTCCCTCAGCTCTTCGGTTGGATGTGATGAAAAAAGAAATTCCTATACTGCTTCTGTATTTCTTGTCTAGTGAAACATTTCAAAAAACAGCTTTATCATCTTTTTTTCTGACAAAGGAACACAGCTGAAAACATGTTTCAATCTTCTGTATATTCATAAAACATATGAAGTGTTATTGCTTCTCTTTTGTGTTGTATGACGTTTTTCTAAACTTTTTTATTCTTAATTTTTTTCTCTCTCTTTTTTTATAATACACAAGCACACTTTCAAGTATGGATGGCCCATCAGTGTTAAAATCACTGAAGATTGGTAATTTGAATGAGTTCAGTTCCTGGCAAACAGTCCCCCATGTGTAATGCAGTATGAATTGTTTCCTTTAAATGTGCTTTATGAGCACAACTCTTTTCAGGCACACAGTTCTTGTGTATTTTGCTGTAAATAATCCTAATCTAAATTTTTATGACATAAAATTTTATATAAAAATTAATCATATTCATTAGACACAATGTTTGTACATATTATATTTATAAATACATGCCTGTGATTAATATTGAGAATTATGTTGTTATAATTCATGATATAATTATTACTGAAAATGCTGTTTTTGATAGAAAGAGATATGCTAACTTGATACATCAACTAGAAACTATGTTATTGTAATCAACTCATTTCCACTGTGATAAAAGCCTTCTAAAGAGAAAATCACTTTGCTCATGTTGTAGTAAAACGAAAAATATCCACAGATTATTTTTTACATCTGTTAAAATAATCATGGGCTATCTGTTTTAAGAGAATATCTTCATGGGGAATTTTCTAAATAAAATCAGCCTGAATGTCATATTATGCATGAGGAAAATCATAAAAACATCAAGCAGCTAACCTGTTTGGTTGCCAGTAAAAAATTCAAGGCAAACTACCAACATCCAGCAGTCTTATTCACTCAACTATAGTAAACTTAAATTACTATTTGTGTATTATTATTAGTGTTAAAATAATGAAAATATTTATTCTAATTTTTTTTTTTTAAAATGATCATCCCTGTAAGGTATTTTCTTTAGTTAAGGATTTGGTGCGGAATAATTAATTCCGTGTTCGAACAAGACATTTATTTAGAACTTAATGCTTCAAAAAAATGAATGCTGGGATCCTTAGGAAAAATATATATATATATATATATATATCGTCTAAAAATATAGCTCAAAAATATTTGGATGTTCATAATCTTATAATGAATTACTAAATAATTAATAATCATTATAATTATTAAATATAATGCTTATTAATTCTTTTCAAAATGTACAGTAATACTCTTTTTTTGGAAAAATACCATATTGAACAATCATATTGTAAGCTAAAAAATAACAACATTGCTTTGTTCATTATTATTATTAACTATGTTTCATCTTTCCTTTTCAGCTTTCAGTTATAGTTTTTAATCCTATTTCAGATAAAGTTTACTTCTGTTGTAAAGAAAAGCAAGAATTTTCAAACTCAGTCAATAAATTTATGATCAACTAAAAACCATAAGAGACGGGAAAAAAAAAAAAAGTTTGAGCTTAAAATTCACTTTTTGAATATCTTGAATCTATGTAAAAGAAAGTGAAATGCAAAATTTGAAATTGATACTATCACCGTGGCAACCCTCAAATAACACCTAAATGTTTCATTTATTGCTCTTAAAAATAGATCATATGTTTAAAAGCTGATATAATGTTTTCGTTAAAAAAAATCTTGAAATTATTGCTTAAGAAAAGGAGAAACAAAGATCTATTTATACCAAAAGCAAACTTAATTTCTTTGAGTTCGAGAAGATATTTTTATTAATAAATTTCCTAGCTCCAGTTCTGTACAAATATAATCCCTGAAGAAGAAATCTATATGGTTTTGGAACTCATATTGTTTGTATTAATCTTTAAACAACTGTTATGTTATATACTTAAATCTCCTAAGTTTTTGTTTCATAAATCAGATGAAAAATAAGTCACATTTTAAAATCCACCTTTTTTTTTAAATCAGCAATTCATGTATAATCTTAAATATGTTTTTAATAAATTAATAAAAAAATAATTATTATTGCACACAAATATATAAATCGTATGAAAATTCTATAAATATTTTGTATATTTCTGTAAACAGTTTAGGAATTTCATTGATAAATATAGATTTTGATTTATTATATATAAAAAGTTCTATTAATAAATATTTTTGCCATAAAGTGCATTTACAATAAAAATGCAATACAAAACTGATGAACTTTAAGAATAATACAAATGCTATAGTTAGTAATAAATTTAGGAAGTTTTGGCTGAATGTTGCTAAATTAGCAAAATTCTGAAGGTACCAGAAAGTCAGTACTTCACTAGCTCTGGATTTTTTTTTTTAAATTCCTCCATCCTACACACACACACACACACACACACACACACACACACAAAAAAAAAAAAAAAAAAAAAAAAAAAAGGGCACTGTCATGACTCATTCTTCACTAAGAGTTCAACGCACTCTATTTTACTGAAAGGTAATTTTCAAAGCCTGCAAGCAAATTTCAAGCAAATTTGCAGTTGCTGAATTTGAGGGCATGATTTGAGATGAATAGCAAGGAATTTATTCTTATTTTATCATCATCGAGCATGTATGGGAATTTATCAGTATTTATTTGTGATATATTTATAATCTTTCTGATTTGACTGCCTGTTGACTACTTTACCTCATAACTGATCTTTAATAAAAATCTAAACTTTATGACAATACAAAACATTTCAGAGATCATTCTCAGAGCTAAAACAGCATTGTTGCACAAAGAGACAAAAGAAATTACTTGTACCTTTAAGCCTTCCTGTAATCTCAATTCCTTTTCAACTTCAGAAATGTACTGTGAAAGATCATCTGTAAAACAGCATTAAAAATTTCATCAGGGGGGAAAAAACACAGTAGAAAAAAACAGTTATATTTTATGTTCATCTTTTTACTTTTTTCATTTTTTACATGCTGAAGAGCACATTCCAAATTTTTCTTGTTCATGTCTTCCTTTAATAACCTAAAATACAATTATAAAAAACTGATTCTAAATCAGGAAATATATATAAAAATTGCCCAAACAAATGAATATTAGAATGATGGAATACAGAATAAAAACAGAAATATGAAGAAAGAGTAATTTAATTTTATGTTTGTAACTGATTAAGTAATATGAACTAAAATTAATTTTATGATACATTAAAATTACTACATATATGATATATTAACCATTAAAATTATGATATATTAAAGCTACTATATACTAAGTTCTGCTCTAAAATACTTCACTTAATAAATTTTAATGCAGCAAAAATGTATTGCAGTCAGTTATATGTTGCTTGAATATTTCCATAATAAGTCTAGCATTTGATATTTCGATCAAACGACAAACAATCAGTGACACAGTACTGGGAAGACTCATATTGTTTCTTCGGCTTCGTTACAGAGAAAAGTGCTTTTTGAAAGATTATTTATGAATTCACAGAGCAATCAACCTATTTTTTGGAGATTATTCAATGCAGCATAAAATGAAATTTTTTTAGATTTAGATTTTATACATATTGTTCATGGATACTAAAGCTGTTGAGATAACATAATAAATTTAAATAAAAAATTTTTCATTGTAGGCATTCGTATGTTCCCGTTGTTAAAATTATTATAAAAATTACGATTAACTATCTTTTTCACAATGAAATACATTACTTTTGGAATCTAAAGCAAGGATTCTACTTATCATTTTCATTCACTAGCTTTTAAAGATACTGCATTTTAGCCAAAGATATTTCTTCTATTGAAGTTTAAACTTGTGATAATAATTTAAGATAGAGGAACTGTTAAAAAATGCCTCTCCTCAGTACATATTGAAACTTGATGCAGTAGTTGTCAAAGGAGTATACACTGGTGTGCAAAAATTAAGAACGAAGTTGAAAAATTAGCATATCAGCTGAACGAAGAGGCAAAACGGACAGAAAGACCAATCAGGAGATTAAGTAAGGTGATGTACGGTAGCACACACGCAGATATGCAGGTAGACGTAATGGGGGAGTGTCTGAGTAGTATAAAGCATGTTGTCGGTGTAAGATCAATATCTCTGGCAAAGAGATTGCACGCCGTATAGCAGTTAAAATCATAGAGTTGCTGCCTCAGCGAGAAATGGCGAATAATCAATCTGTTAGACGACATCTGGATGCTTTTACCCAAGGTCGAATCATTGGAAAGTTGGAGGAAGGCCGCAGTATCACAAGTGTGGCTGCAGAGTTCGGAATTGCTCACAGCATCGTTTCACGACTTTGGAGACAATTTCAAACTATAGGAACAGCTATCCGGGGGTTTAGTAGTGGTCGTCCACGAGAAACCACACCCGCAGATGACCAGTATATTGTCTTACAGGCCAGAAGAAACAGGCGGTAGACAACGGGAGAAATCGCTAGACACACGACACAGGCGACCGATATTGCGTTTTACCGTGGCCAGAAGACTGCACGGTGGTGGTCTGTTTGTACGACGCCCTTACGGTGTGTACCTCTAACGCCTGCCCATCAGAGAAGGCGTTCTCTGTGGTGCCGGGAACACCGGAATTGGAGAGACAATGAATGGGGACGAGTACTCTTTACAGATGAGAGCAGATTCAGTCTGAGTAGCGATTCTCATCGCATACTCATCTGGAGAGAGCAGGGAAGCCGCAATCATCCCTCGAACATCATTGAAAGGGAAAGGTATGGAGGTGGCGGTGTTCTCGTTTGGGGAGGCATCATGCTTGGTAGTCGTACAGACCTTCACATCTTCGACGCAGGTTCAGGTTCAGTCAACGGGACCCGTTATTGTAACGAGATTCTTCTTCCATATGTGCGTCTTTTTAGAGGCGCTATGGGTCCGCAGTTCCTTTTCATGGACGACAATGCACCATGTCATCGCACAGTAGCTGCCGAACAGCTCTTAGAGAGTGAGGATATTGAACGTATGGATTGGCCGGCACGATCTCCGGATCTCAATCCCATCGAGCATGCATGGGATTTTCCTGGCAGACGCTTGGCAGCTCGTACCTTACCACCAGTAACGATTCCGGAGCTTCGATTGGCGCTGCAAGACGAATGGGCAGCAATGCCTCAACAACTCATGCTCTCAGCATGGGCAGACGCTGTGAAACCTGCCTAGCAGTCAGGGGAGATCATATCCCCTATTAAAGACCGAATGTATCTTGCTGGACACCCATCACAGGGATGTTTCGGCCTTCAGTCGCATTGCGCTCCATGCTACTTTTTCAATAAAGCTTCTTTTTATCCCTCTGATTTCTCTTTTAGTAAGTGTTGCTTACATTACTCATGTCCTTACGTATTGGGGATCTTACGGTATTAAATGTGTTGATTTGGAAAGCTTTTGTACAAAGTTATAATGAAAAAAAAAAACCGTCTCGTCCTTTATTTTTGCACACCAGTTTAAACCGGCATTGCTAGTTGAAGTTGGAGAATTCCTGCAAATACTTCCAGCATCCCAACCACCAGGTGATTTCAATCTGCTTCAGCTACTACAAATACGAGGTAACCTAACAAGATCATTTTATTGTATTTTTACACAGGATAAACTCTGAAGTTACCTATAAATGTTTTAAAGATTTACCTGAGTGATTTGATTTATTGCTTCTAAAATTAATGAGCCTTGTTTTTCACTCTGAGGATGAGCAGGTTGACTTTATGTTAAACAAAGAGCTGCTTTTGAAATTTGCAGTATTCTAAAGAAAACAACTCAAGAATGTATTTAAATGCGCATCTGTCAAAAACACCTACTTTTAACTTCCCTAATCCTTTTTAACTAGGCACTATGTTAAGAAAAAATTGCTTTGCAACCAATTTCTTATAGGCATTGGTTAATCAAACACTTCTATCAATTTCATTGAAGATCAGCTGGAGTCTCCTTGAAGAGTAAAACTATTTTGCACCGTGAGCTGAAATGATGTCATTTAAAGGGATAAAAATAATCTGTGCTGTGATCTAGAAATACATAATTTTTTAATAGTGTCCAAGTCGACATAGAAGATTTTTTTATACCTTGAAGTATTTCACTAGGTCTGGAGAAAAGGTTCCCTTTGTTTGTTTTTCTCAAAACTGATAAGAAAATTTCAATAGAAGGTTGGTTTTCTACTTTACTTTACAATTTCACATTTTACTAACACAAATACAGTTTGATAAGTAATGAGTCTACGTCTGTCATTCAAGCATGATCAATGCACCCAGTACAGGAAAACATATCTTTGCATCTGTAGAAATTTAAAAATATGCCCAAACTAATTTTTCAAATTAATTGGAAAGAAATGAAATTGTGAATTTTTAAATGTAGGTGCAAAATAAGATGATACAACTCTACTCAAATCTTCTTGTTCTCATATCTGTAATTAAATCATTAACAATGAAATTTATTCACCATTTAAAAAATATTTGATAAAAATGTGATATATCAGAAAAAATTTAATTTGATTAAGAGTTTAATTAAATAATAATTTTAAAATTAAACATTAAATAAATTTTTGTTACTTTTCTTTTAGCCCACGTAATTCATTATCTAACTTTGAAATGGTTACATTCATCTCAGAAATATTATCTTCATATTGTATTTTTTGATGTTTTGAAGTTCCTTCAAATTCTTCACATTTACTCATCAGTTCTTTAACTTTTAAAGACTGTGATAAATAGCTCTGTTCTATATCACGTTTATCATTCTGGAAAACGAAGATTATTTTATTAATTTTGAAAATATGTTATTAGGGAAGCTGCTAAAATAAAACATGCAGTATTTACTGTTTTCCAATAAATACATAAAATACATTCCAAAAAGCAAATAAACTAATACAGTCAAAAGTCGGTAATCCGGACTCGTCGGGACTTCGGCGATTCCTGATTATCGATTTTTTCGGATTATAGATCATCAGTTTAAATTTGGTAAGATGGCATGCAGAAACTATAAAATTAAAAATATGAAACCGTAATTTATGAAATAAAGAACAATTATGATCTAAAGGGTATCGAAATTAAAAAAAAAAAAAAAAAAAAAAAAAAAAAGCTTAATATTTGTTTACTTTATTAAACATTTCTTTCAATGTAGGTTGTTTAAGTTGCTTTGTTTCATGTGATAATACTTTCTCTTTAATTCTATAAACAGACATAATTTCTTGTTCAATTACAAAGTTCCACTGTTCAAGTCCTATAATTGCTGTGTTGAGAATACCGACTAATTTGTCAATCGAAATTTTTTCGTTTTCGATAACCTCTGTGTCACTTTCTTCACTATCGGAAGCGAATTATAATGATGAGGAATTTGATTTAAATCATATCAAAGACGGTGTACATTGAGATGAAATACTACATTTAGTAAGCAATTATAAGCCAAATAAATAAAAACATCTGCCCTGAAGATAAGGATAGTGCTGACAGATCAACTTCCAATTCATTGCGTGCCGCGGCGTTCCCCCCCTCCCCCCACACCGCAGAGCAGCGTGAAATTGATAAACAGATTTCGGAATGGTTAGAATAACAAAAGATATGCCTTTATCCATTTTTTTGCAGCAATTCTACTTTTTGTTTAATGGTCTTCGAAACATACTTTTGCTTTTTAGATCCTTTACATATTAGTAAATATATATCAGAAATTCTATTTGACATAATCGAAAGTTCAGGCTTACTTTTATAAAATTGCTCTAACAGTCTGCAAAAAATAATAAGGTGGATCCAATTCGAAGACTAAGGAACAGCGCAATCTGCAACATTAACTGAACTAGATAATTTTAGCTTAGCTTATACCATCCGTTACACATTAAACGCGCATGCGTAAATGTATTATGCACATGCGCACACACATATTCGCAGCCGTAAAGGTGTTACGCGATGTCAAACGACGCGCATACGTCAACGCGACGCATGCGCAGAAAGTTTGTAGCTTTGAGGTCCAGATTATGGGTGTCTGAATTAACGACTTTTGACTGTACATTAAATTAATTATTTAAAACACATAAAATAGCTTTCCCAGTTTTCAAAAATTTTGTTGCACACAATTAATAAAACATTAGCAAAATTTAATTAAAAATCTTATTTTCATCCGGGCATGGATGTCTCAAATTATTTTACTTCTTTTCATATTACTTTGATTAATAAATCTTACTTTCAACAAATATGAATCTTGGGGATTCCAATTGAAAAATACATAAACTGATTACAAAACTGCCAAGGTTGATGGCCTCTCCCCTTTTCTTTTTTTTTTCTAATCAGAGTTGATCAAGTCGAGTTAACATTTTTTCTCCCCCCTTTTAATTTAAGAATGGATGTGCTATGGCTCTTACAGCATTGATGAAGAGTGCATATGTTTTTTCAAAGTTCTAACAAAGTTGGATACATATAAAAAAAATTAATATTGCTTCAACATGAAACTAAGCAGGAATTTAAAAGTTAGATTAAGTTATCTAAATATTAAAAGCCAGAAAAGGCTCTCTGTCTAGAGAGAAGGGTGCCTTCTAAAGGAAACTGGTTTGGAACCAAGTTGCACACAAGGAAAACCATGAAAACTAACCATGGAGCCACCCCATTTACCTGGAATTACATATTAGCTTAAATTCCAGACTTCAGAGTCTTAACCACTCCACAATTTAAAGATTGATTTGCTTACAGAGCTATTGTGAAACCACAATCAAGCTTTCCCATATTTTATCCTTTCCTAAACATAATAAACTCTCTTCATATTACTTTTAAAACTCTTAATTTGTACAATCTTGCACAAAATTTCACAAAAACAATATCATGGATTACTTTTACTAATGAAACTTTAGAAGTGTGTACATACTTTCTGTTTGATATAATTGCCTTCAGATTTAAAAAGAAATTATTATTAATGTAGTTAGTTTACCTTTAAATAATATAATAACTGGTACCATTCCATTTTGAGGACCGTAAAAAAATTGCAGCGAAAATGTATGTGCAAAAGCGCCAAACCTAGTAAACGCACCCATTTAACAGTGTGCCAAATCTAGCATACGTGCTGATTTCAGATTGTGTAAGTTTATATAGTTTTATATTTCTTAAGACGCCATTGAAATACTAGTTTAATTTTCAAATCATTTTTTGACTTTAAATTATTTTTTGATATCCTATGGACTTAACAATTTGGGAATTGCCCACGACGAAAAGTGTGCAATAGAATTTTGGTTAAAGTGCAGAATCACCCCACTGCTTGACACGTTTTTAAGAATTGCACATACTCGGCATCGATATACACACCAACCTATTTTCACTTAAAAAAAAAAAACCCCGAACTGCACAAAAATGGCACTGCGCACACCCTTGACTTTATCTATGAACACATCAACCTATTTTCACTTAAAAAGTAAAAGAAAATTGACAAAAATCCAATTGTTTTTACCCTTGTAAAAAGCAGCAAACAAATAAGTGGGCGATTCTGCACTTTACCGAGAATTTTTTCAAAAAAAAGGCATCATTCATTATATAAAATTATGTTTGAACAACCAACGAGATGACACTATGCTTTAGCGATAACTCGGTGTCGAAATAGCGATGCAGGCATCCATTCAGTTATGTTTAGGAATTTTTATATAGATTATAACAATGATCTGAAATAGTTATTTACTCTTATGCTTCTATTCAGTCATGCTTAGCCTTTTTTATATAAATTATAATAATAAAAAAGTATTATATGAAATTAACCTTTTATCTAAATTAAAACATCAATCTTAGATAGTTATTCACTATTATACTTCCTTTCCTGTGTTAGGGTTGCCGCAATTATTTTTGGCAGCACTGGCATCAACAATAGTTTGGCGATTTTTTACGGTCCTCAAAATCGAATAGTACCTAATGGCTATATTCCTTTACAATTAATATTTTAAAATCATTAATAAATCACAAATTATGCTTCACTTTTTTTTAATGTTCTCAGAGTATTTTGTTTCAGGGTTCTCACCGATATTCAACTTTTAATTTTCCTTACTTTTCCTTCCATGGCCAAAGAGTACAATTTTTCCGATTAAACACGATGAACTAATTATCAAATTAAGTCTATGACTAAATTTTTGCATTTGCTGTAAAAATACAATGAACTAAGAATTCTATAAAAACATTATCATACTTATTATTGTAAATCAAATGAAAGAATAAAAAATATACCTAAACTATTAAAAAATATTTGTCATAGCATAAAACCATACACAGTAATGAGTTTGTAACTCTTTATTTTTGAAGAGTAATCATACTTCAAGATTTGTATACCATATATTATTTGAAAGGATTTATTTGTACTGTTTTTCTAACTTTTTAACTGTTGGGGGAAAGTTCCAGTTTATGCATTTTTGTGATTATTTTTCATTGCTTTTATGTTCATTTGTTTTTTGTGAGTCTTTTTCTTTAAATTCTGATCGATATGGCTGTTTTCATACTTACTTTCATACATCAGACTTTTTGTCAGCCCAAACTGGATATTATTATAGTCCTTTTATTATATTTTTCCTAAGGTAACTCTTTTCTAAACCAGTTATGCAGAAGATGGCATGGATTTATAGGCAGGAGCAAAAATGTTTTGTTCCTGAATAAGAGGGACCTATGTCTAAACACTCTTAAAAATTTAAGTTCAAGTCAAAAAAAATCTTTGCCATTCTAAGGTGGTTTCCTCTCTTGCATAATTATGATTTCTACATTGTTATATATTTTTTTAATATTAAATTCTTAAGGTTACATGCAACTTTTGTTTGCTTTTTAAAAACCTTAAAAAGAAAGCTCATCTTTCAAGAACTTTTTCGAATTTTCAAAGAGAAAGCAAAAATGTAAAATTATTTTGATTTATTAAACCAATGAAGCTGCCCACCGGCGATAGTAGTTAGTGATGCTGACTGCCATACCAAAGAGGCCAGTTTCGAATCTCAGAGAAGGCATGGATGTTTATAAATGGATAGTATCTGTATGGCATGGGGGCACTCTTGAATATGTGGCGAGCTGAAAATCCTCTTCACAGGTTGATGGTAAAGGAAATGGGATGAAAGACCATCAGGCCCATCCCCCCTCCGATATGCTGTCTTTCAATGTTCCGGGCAGAACTGAGCTAAAGTCAGGCTGTCACCTATATGGTGCTAAAGACAGGAGGATTTGATTCCTTGCCACACTGACTGTCGTGAGCTTGTGCTGACTTTTGTCAGACATTGGCAATAACAACAAACAAATGAATATTTTTTTAATATATAAAATATAAAATATTTCTCAGTTTATATATATATACCTAACTTAAATTATCAAATTTTTTATTTTTAAAAATAAAACATTAAAAGCCTTTTGTACACATACCTCTGCATCTACCAGTTTACTCTCCAAATCTTTCATCTTGCATAAATTTTCTTCATATAGCTTTTCTAACCGTAAAATGGTTGTTTCCAATTCCGCTGTGAAAGAGAATATATTATAAGCAGCAAATTTAATTTTTTTAACAGAGAAATACAGAACAAAGTAAAAATATTGAATGCCCAATATCCAAATGATCTAAAACCCAGACCTCTAGATCACTAGCAAATTTTTACTTCCTTCTACAAACATTTTACGAAGCAAAGGAAGTACTGTAATTGCGAAAAATTTCAGGTATCATATTTCAATGAAAATGTCCATTTTGATCGCTCTCGATTCCACTGCACCATTAACCAGTTAACTGTGACGCCCTCATTAAGAGGGCACACCATTTTGTGTAGCCAGAATCGAGCCATGACGAGTATATTCATCAATCACAGAGTAAGTTGCACTGGAAAGATATTGTCACGTTTTTCTTATCCAACTTCTGACACCAGTTGTTACGTTATTTTCTTCCTTCACGTTCGTACGGGGTTCGTGTGGATTTGAAGTGAATAACGACGACACTACTTGATGAAGTATCAAAACACACTTTATTGGCCAGTATTGTCCGGACAGCTCCAAAACACGTTTACAGTCGTCGATGAACAACTATAAACACGCTGACACGATCAGCGACACAGCCTCCAGGTTATCAGGCTATCATGGTGGAGACAGCTTAACGGCAAAGCACTAGAGTACAGCTCCCTACTCTGCTTTTTCATTCTCGGAACTGCACGTACTCTCGAGACTCTCCACACTACAACTCGCGATGCACTCGACGATACTCGGAGCACAGCTCCCGACTCTTCGGTTCAGTTTGTTCCCAGGAGCTCAACACGCTCACTCGAAGATGCACTAACCGCGATACACTAAGACTCCTTCGGTGCACTCGACGACCCACTCGGCACTCGCTGCGCGGCTGCCAACTCGATCAACTCCGCAGGGATTGACTCTCTAGATGAGACACCATCTCGATACTGACTCTCTCGCACTCTATGCGAGGCACACACACTAACTGACTGCAGATCAGCAGAGTTTATATAGCTTTCGGCTTGTTTTCGAGAACATTCTGAGCTAAACCAGGTAAAAATTCGTTCCAGAAGAATTCTCCATCCGTCCATGGTATATCGCCAATTTTGTCGCCAAATGGGCAATTTCTCACCAAATGTGGCAACACTGCCTTCAATTGAAAATTTATGGTAACCCTAAAACTGCTTTGTGGGGAAGCAATCTCACCGCACCTGTACATTTCATAACACTGCCCCCTCCCAAGGACTGCACGTCCTGGGCAATACAATCCTTGGTCAGAAGCCAAATTCGATACAAACAAAACATTTTAAAACATACAGATAACATAACTAAAGAAACAAATATTTACACTATGTACAAGTTATACACACAAATTAAACACATAACAATTTTAAATTTTACAAATTAAAGTTCTGAATGAATTTCAGTCTCAATCTTTTCATTAATTTATACCCAGGTGAAATACTTTTCCACTGCAGTTCTCAGATGTATTCCGGTTTTGCATATCACAGTCTGAAGATTCAGTCCTTTCCTACTTTTCATCCACAGAAAGATCTGAAACAGTTTGTTGACCACTTTGTAGATTATTTGCATCATGCATACAGTTCACCTCAGTATTTTCAGCCAGTGGTACATACTGATTTACCTCTTTTTCCTGATAACCATTTCCTATGTTTGCATTAGAGTTATAAGCAGAATCCAATTCTTTACAAGTAGAAGTATCCTGGTTTAGAATCAAGTCCATGTCTGCACAATCTGCACTATGAGATGCACATATAGTTTGCGAAGCGGGTGAATTTTCTTGCAATACTAGATCGCACTGCTTAAGCTGCACATCAGCTTCTCCCATCTCTGCATCACTTGCACTTTCAAGATGGTTCAACACTTACTGCCTGCGACTTCGTTAATTCACTATCAGTTTTGACAAACTTAACAGTCGCATTTTCACTTCCTTCCACTTCAGACACTTGAGAATCAAAAGCTTCTTTCCCTGTCTTTTATTTCTTCAAATTTTTGTTCTTTTCTTTAATCCCAATAGATGTTTCATCCATCATTTCTTGATCTCTCAGGCAGTTCATTAGCTACTTCTTTCATTTCTTCATCCTTTGTTTCCTCAACTGACACTTCTCTTATTTCCAAATCGTCTTTTATGTCTCCAATACCTTCTGTAAACTCCACTTTCACCTGTTGGAGTTGCTCTCACACCTTTTCTTGGCCGACATTTGTTTCTTCTCTTCCAGTCTGGCTTTGATCTCAGCTGTAATCTCTTTATATCCAGCTATTATCTCATCATATCCGGCTTTTACCTCTTTCAGTTCGGCTTTCATCTCTTCCTGTTCAGCTTTGATCTCGACTAAGAAGTCCCTCAAAGTCTTCGTTTCCTCCGCAGGCAGGTCACTGGCATTCACTCGCAAATCCCACTCCTGACACCAGTTGTTGCGTTTTTCTTATCCCACTTCTGACACCAGTTGATACGTTATTTTCTTCCTTCACGTTCATATGGGGTTCGTGTGGATTTGGAGTGAATAATGACCACACTACTTGATGAAGTATCGAAACACACTTTATTGGCCAGTATTGTCCGGACAGCTCCAAAACACGTTTACAGTCGTCGATGAACAACTATAAACACGCTGACACGATCAGCGACACAGTTCAGTCAAAGTTTGTAGCTTTGAAGTTCGGATTATAGATCATTCCGGATTATGGGTGTCCGGATTAACGACTTTTGACTGCATAAACACGCTGACATGATCAGCTACACAGCCTCCAGGTTATCAGGCTATCACGGTGGAGACAGCTTCACTGCAAAGCATTAGAGTAAGGATCCCTACTCTGCTTGGTCGTTTTCGGAACTCCACATACTCTCGAGACTCTCCACGCTACAATTCGCGATTCACTCGACTACACACAGAGCACAACTCCGACTCTTTGGTTCAGTCTTTCCTGGAACTCAACACGCTCTCTCGACGATGCACTAACTGATATACACTTTGAGACTCTTTCGGTACTAAATATCTCGCACTCAACGAGGCACACTCTCACTCGTCCTCTCGACGAGGCACTCTAACTGACTGCGGAACAGCAGGGTTTATATAGCTTTCGGCTTGTGTTCGAGAACATTCTGGGCTAAACCAGTAAGAATTTGTCCAGAAGGTTCTCCATCCGTCCATGGCATATCGCCAATTTTCTCGCCAAATGTGGCAACCCTGCCTTCCCTTTCCATTTTATGGCAACCCTAAAACTGCTTTGCGGGGAAGCTATCTCACCGCACCTGTACATTTCGTAACAATATCTGATGAAAAAGATGGGTTTATTTTATAAAACTGAAAATTTTATTACTACTATTTACTTATTTGGTTAACATAAGCATATATTACATACATATAAATAGCAGGAATTAAATTCTTTACTTTTATATCTATAATATTTAATTAATAAATTAAATTAAATATAATAGATATAAAAGTAAGAATTTAAATTCCTGCTGTGGAGTGATATTCAGCGAAACAGGGTACTATACACAATAGGATTTTGTAAATCAAACACCAGTAACGTGATTCCTTCCTGATCTTATGTTTGTAGCAATGCGAACACCTTCGCGTGGGGTTGTTTTTTCAAAGTTCCGGGTATATAATCCAGAACACGAATTCCGCCTAATTAACTTATATTAGGTCTGAATGGCCAAGTTTGTGTCGATTTATTTCTTTCAAATGGATACGTTGCAAAAGTGTTCAATAAATTTGAGCAAAAAGTTGATCCATGATAATGTTCCATTATATTTTTTATATAATATGAATGCATTCAGACACATAATGTCTAACAAATGGAGAAATATCTTTTTGTAGTACTTTTTGAGTCATTTCTTTGCTGTGGAGTACACTATGATAATTCCATTCCTCATATCCACTCCAGCCATTTTTTTATTATAATCAATCACTAGCTCCGGTTTCTTTGTTATTATTTTTCTTTTCTCTGTTTATATTACATTGTCATTGTGTACAGTACTTACTAAATAAACCTTCCTCTTATCTTTCCATTTCATTATACGCATGATGAGTATACTTGTCAATACACAAAATTGTGCCGCTTCTCCGTGACGAGTACACTCATCAATTACAGTTAACTGGTTAAGGGTGTTTTGCTATGAGAATCAATGACAGGTGCCGATAACTTGTGCAGCATCTAAAAGATTAGTGAGTGATATGTTAATACGTAGTATCGCATATCATATTGTCAGGAAACATATATTTAAATGACCCATTTTACAGCACAAGAAAACACTACAGAGAACTACATACAGTGAGCAACTGAAAGAGATTCTAAATGTAAAATGAAACAAGACAGTGTAAGTATTCACAGACTGGAGGAAAGAGCAGCGAGATCATGAAATACATGCAAGATAATACAGTACAATATCTGTAATCCGGACGTCCATTATCCAGAATGAATCATAATCTGGACATCAAAGCCATGCCACAAACTTTTTTTTGTATGCTTTACACATATGCGTTTCATGTATAACGGACGGTATAAGCTAGGCTAGAATTATCTTTACTGATTCTAAGGCATTTCTGTTAATGTTGCAGATTGCGCTGTTTCTTAATCTTCTAATTAGATCCGGCTTATTATTTTTTGCAGACTGTTAGAGCAATTTTATAAAAATTAAGCTTGAACTTTCGATTATGTCAAAAAGAGTTTCCAATTCTGGAGCTGCCAAAGGATCTACAAAGCGAAAGTATGTTTCAATGTCCATCAAACAAAAAGTGGAATTGCGGCAAAAAATGGACAAAGGCATATCTGTCTCAAAATTATTGCACGACATTGGAAAGTCAACTGTATATGACATAAGCAAAAAGAAAAAGGAACTTTTTGAATATTTTGTGGATTCTGACACTCCACTTGCAATGAATAACAGAAAAAGGGTTCGTTGTGCTAAAATTGATGATCATGACAAAGTGATGATTGAATAGGTCAGGCAGCGTCGCAGCAAGGGAGTGCCATTGATCGGTCCAATTCTAATGGCTCA